TTGTCTCGCTGTCTCTTACTCAAGTGAGCAGTTGGCGTAAACACACTGGCTGCAGCAGTAACAATAATCACGTCAAGCCTTCCCTGACGTCCATATAAAGATGATTTTGGGTGAGTCACAGAGGCGAGTGGAGAAAGAAACAAATCAATAGCAGACGGATTTGCTGGACAGAATAGTGTGGTGAGATGGATATTTAGGTTGACATTTAAACTAAGGTAAATAATCCTCTGTGTAAAGCAACCTCTGTTTGGTTTTTGCCGGGGCTGACTCCTCTGTGGTAAATGAGGTCTGTTTTTGTTTATCTCTCTCCCTATTTCAATATAAACAACTCCTGCATTACCCTCCCTCCACCTCTTTATCTGCCCCTCTAGCCTTCTCCGGTATCTCTTCATCCCTCCAGAATGCATCCGATGGACGTCAACACACAGGAGGAGGCCAAGTTTAACATAATCTAAGTGAGCGCTGTTTGCTATTGTAGCGGTAGATAAAAACAGCCTTAAGTGTTTTATATATTTCACAGACATGTAGGTGTGTTAGGTGTTAGCTGTTATGCAGTAAATTTGTTTAGTTTTATTCAAAATAGAATCTTTGCTAAGGAAAGAGCCATTTTTTCTTTCTTCTTTCCCATTTTTCCCCTCCTCTCCTTTCTTCCTTCTCCCACGGCAGTTTAGTACTTCTCTCAAATCTCCCCTTCACTCTCCTTAATGTGCTTTTTGTGTGAGTGGAAAACAGAGCGGTCATATGCCTCAGCTGGCCATCAAACATTTACATCATGTGGTGCTTTGGAGTGCAAAAGAGAGAAAGACACAGACAGAAAGGAAGAGGGATGCCTACAAAAGAAACAAAGACAGACATGGAAAAACAGAAACAGAAAAAGAAGCCAGACAGTGAGGACGTCATACAAAGAAAGAAGCAGATAGTGAAACTTATAAAAGACACACAGACAGACAAAGAGAGTGTAAAAGACACAGACAGACAGAGAAAGAGACAAGGCAACAGCTGAACAGCTCTAACAGAAGAGTCATTGTATGAGTGCCAGTATAGGTCAGGAGTTCACCAGCCACTAGTCCACCGCAGGGCCAAATATTGCTAGCAAGGATGGAATTTATAATTGATCACACAAGAGTTTGGAAAACTTTTTGCATGTTTTGCATTCAAGATTGGCAACAGATTTTCATTTAAAACTCCAGACAGTGCTACATGAAAACAATGCCCCGGCCTTTTAACAGAGAGAGTGAAAAGAAGAGCGTGAGAATAAAGAGTGTGAAGAGAAACGTGATGTGCAAGTCTGTTTGGCGAGATAATCTTAATAATATTGAGTAGTGTGTGAGTGTGATGTGCCTTTTCTCATCTTGGGAAGTGAGAATGTTTGAGTTTTAGGAGAAGTTAATCAATCAGATTATACATCCGTGCAATTTCTCTATACGTCTGTGATGCCAAAATCAGCTAACAGATTAAAACCCTTAATTTGAGCCCAGACTAAAGTAAATACAGGTTTGTAGGTATATGATTTAAAGAGAAATCCCTCTATAAGACAGTCGAGGGATCGAGGAGATGACATAACATTGTTCTGCTACACGACTTTTCTTTATTGTTGCTTTTTCTTTCTTTTCTCTTCAGGCCTATAAAAGTTGTTTAAATGTAACCAGCTGAAAAATTTTACGTTTCTGAAGAGCCAGTGTGAATTTTGGCAGTGCCTGACTCCACCAGCTCCCTGCACTTTTTGAACCAGGACATAAACATGTTTGTTTTCTCCTGTGAAGTTGTGCATTTTAATATGGGGTCATATAGAGATTGCCTCACTTTTGCAGCCAGCCTCACGTGGCTGTTTGAGGAATTTCTGGCACTTCCTTGTTGGCTTCGTTTTTCAGCCAAAGAGGTTGCCTCTTGGTGACAATGCTATGGTTACGGTTTGGGAACAAAAACAACTTGGGAAATATTGTGGTTTGGGTTAAAATAAGTACTTTGTTAAATTTTCTGTCCACTTGGGGGTAGAGGGTTGTTAAAGCTGTAAACAACTTTATTACCTTTAACTTAATTTTAAAAATGTTAATATGTTTGCAAAATATGTTAATATGATAAGAGTTAAAGCACAATGTTATCATTCAGTTGGAATCATGTTTCTGGGCTGAAGATTGTAAGTACAATATTCACTTTCTTTTAACTCTGTTTCTGGTCTCTACCAACTCCTGAGGAAATATCTGAACCTTTAGCTGCTAAATGCTAAATTGTCACCAGCTAGTGTCTCTCACTGGATTTTTGGTGCTCAATGGTAGTAGCATTGTTGCATACTGTAATCCATTTAGAAAAGCAATTAACATCCGGCAATTAACATCCGGCATTGCATCTGTTAGATAAGATTCTTCATAAAAGTATTTCTTGGTCCATTTCTTCAAAACATTCTAATGCTAGTCAGTGATAATTAATGCAGTGCTAAATTTAGCAGAATATATAAACTCAACAGTAGAAAGCCCTGGCCAACACATATTAGTAATTCATCATCCTTTTTTAAAATAACTTTCTGGCACAGGTGGGGAGACAATTAGGCCAGACAGAGTGCTTGGACAGTAATACACTGAAGGATTCCCTAGAACGGTGATTTTTTTTTTTTAGGCAAAAAGGATAATGATATTTTGGGGCTGGACGCAGTGTATTTAATGACATAAAGCAATGGGTGCAGTCATTAATCTTGAAATCCTGCCGATTACTTAAATATAACCTAACATGTACTGTGTGCCTGACAAAAAAAACAAGCATGAAAAATACATCAGAAACCCTACTAGTGGTTGATAAGTGCCATTATCTCCTTAATTTTGTCCTGATTGCCACGCCTCCCCTCTAGAGATGACTGCTGATTTTTCCCTTTGGGCTTTTTCTTTCTCGCTGTGTCTTTTCTGCTACCCCCCCCCATTTCCATTTTTAGCTTCCTACCTGTCACTCTTAAAGCCTTACAATGAGTGAGCAGATAGACCTCAGTGTCTCGCTCAAGGACACTTTATCATGAACACGGCTGTTAATGGGCTGGACTGACACTTAATGGCTATAATGGGTGGTGTCGTGTCCCTAGATCGAGCCTATATGCGGTGGAGAACAAACAAGGTAAAGGACACTACTGACACCTTTAATGATTTCTAAATAAAGCAATTTTCCTTGTTTTGTTTGGTTTTTTCCCCTTGTATTTCCCCCTGCACCCACCCAACCCCCACAAATCTCTCTCTCTCTCTCTCTCTCTCTCTCTCTCTCTCTCTCTCTCTCTCTCTCTCTCTGCTCAGAAATAGGCTATACAGTGAGAGAGAGAAGGGATAAACAGACATGATTTCCCCCGTTCTGACTGCTGCTGTGGAGGGAGGAGAAAGGCATACAAGGAGAAAAAAGAAAAAACACCCATTACATTTACAAATTTAAATGTGCATCCAAAAACACACATATGGACATAGTGTCAAAAATATATACATATTCACACACAATTTATGACTGTACTAATGTGACAGACATACAGACATAGTATCTGTTTTCCATCAGCACATGAACAACACAGCATGTAGACACAACACACAGGAACAGATTCATATCTTGACTTATTTCCTTTCCCTCCCTACACCACAACAGAGACAGATTTTTTTTGACCCACCCCATGCAAGCCGTGACAAGCCCATTTCAGAGATGTGTAGTATACGTTTATGGGTATATGCTAATTCATTCCTTTGTATACAGTGGGTTTCACCTTCACAAACCTCATGGAATGAAGAATACAAAGCACCTCTGTCTGCCACTGCCTCATGTGAACAGATTTACTGTAAGTGTTGCCTTTATGAGAGACAAGAGTCACCTTGAGCTTTTGTAGTCAAATCACAGCAGCTCTTTTCCTCGCCTCTAATCCATACATTGCATAACATAGCAAGCCCTCCCTTCACATCTACTATAGTGCCTAACTGCTGCAAAATGAAGAGGTAGACTCAGGGAGTGGGTGGGGGATGGGGCTCAAAGTGATGCAAATAATAAGATAGGAGAGTATGAGGTATGTGTAGTAAATTTATGAATATGGTCATGTAATTGAGGAAGTCAGATTGCAGCTTCTGGGCTTCTTCTAGGAAATGCACCATGAGAAATAATCGATGTGGATGACACAACAAAATGTGAATGGAACCAGATTGCGCATTGAGTGATGTTGCAATTTATTTGTCAGTGTGTTGTGTTATGTAGACATCAATTTGTTCATTGGGGCTGTGAACCAAAAAGGTTAAGAACCACCAGGTTGCATAACGCACCTAACACTCCCTAACAGTCACTGCAGCCATCCAAAACAAGGACTGATCCCCTTGCGCACGCACACACACACACACACAAACACATTTCACCTAGGTACAGGGCAGAGATACACTACATCAAAATGGAGGACAGGGGAGTCAGCTAAATGTGATTTTATTCCATTATGTAATCCTCTAACCCAGTGACAAATCACCAGACAGCAGCCCCATCATACATTTTGACCCCACTTGTTATGTCAAAACTCTTACCACAAAACACTTTTCTTTTTAGAAGAGATCAAGCTTTTTTTCCATCTACCTCATTTTCTGGACCTGTATTTTGTCACCTTCTATGAGACATTTTTTTTCTCCCTATCTTCTGTTTCTCCCCCTTGTTGGCTGTCTTACCCCCTCTCGCTCTCCTTTTACATGATTCCTCTGTCCATCTCTCAGTTCTCATCCCTTTTCCTTCCTCTCCTTGCCTTTATTTTCCCACCCACCCACTCTTACTGGCTATCTCTTTTAATCTCCCCGCTCTCCCAATTCCTAACAAATTCAACCCCCATTAAGTCTCTTTGGTTTCCTCTTTCCATCCACATCCTTCCCCTCTACATCTTATCTATCCCTACTCTAATCCTCAAATCCATCAACCCCTGCACGTTTTCTCCTACCTCCCTTTTCTTTATGTCTCAACCCTCTGCCCCTTGCCCCCCCCCTTTATTTCTTCAATTACCCCACCACCACAGGTCTTACCAAGTATGGGCTACAGTGAAGCGTCGCCTCTGTCGGATGCTCTTGTTGACCATCAGCTTGCGGAAGAGGCGCGGGGAGCTTCTGGGAGACAGTTTGGGGGACGTGGCGCCCCTCTTCCCCCCCACCACACCTGGGATTTTGGGAGGCTCCAGCTCCAGGTGCATGTGCTCCTTGAATGTCCGGATGCAGGAGTCCATCTCAACACTCAGCTCATTGGATGACATCCCGGCAGGCTGGGTTGAGTTGCGTTCCTCTTTCAAATTCTGCCTCTTTACGTCCAAATTCGGTCACATCAGCTGGTCATGTACAGCGTTTTTTTTTCTCTTGCCTTATCCAGACACAGAGAAGTTTACACTGGGTTCAGCTGTTGTAGCTGAATGATCGAGGCTACCTCAGACACAAGCATTCACCCAAGAAAAGGCCAGCTCACACATACCTTTTTGTTGTTTGTGTTGCCTCTGTGCTTTCTATCCTTCCCCCTTTTCCCCGTTCTCCACGAGTTTATGGATTAGCGAGCCAGCAGTCGTGCCCTCTCCCTCTCTCTTTCCTTTGGCTTATTCACCGTGCTTTAGAGGAGCTTTACCCACAGCAGGGTCACATAAAGCTCTTTCCAGGAGAGAAGAATTCCTCTCCTCAACACTGCTTCTCTCCTGGTTTTGCCGTCTGTAAAGTGCACACACCAGTGCTCTATCACCCTCCCTCCTTTCCTCTGGTTCCCTCTGTCTCTCTGTCACTGTTGGTCCCTGCTAAATGCCACCTCAGCACCAACACTTTCTCTTAGTCCATCCAGGCAGCTTGATGTTGGAGGATCTCCCTTATGAAAGATTCAGAAGGACTGAAAACTGCTTTCTGCCTCCTCCTGTCTTGCTCTCCCCTCCATCAACCACTGCTTGACTGCCCTCCTCTCTCTGCAAACAACCCCCACCTCTCCCAAAGGCACTCCCGGTGTGGCACAGAGTGACTCTCACTATGCCGAGCCTGAAGTCAGATTTCCCTTCACTTGCACAGTCAGAGCGGAGAGCGGAGCAGAGCACAGCACGCAGGCAAATACTTCACTTGCTCTTTCATTCAGAATATACACAAGGAGCTGAGAGCAGGCACGCAGCGAGTACAAGCCACGCCTCCTCTGTTAAGGATTGGCTGGTGGTGGTTGTGACGACAAGCAGGCAGGCACAGTAACAGGTTGTCAGATTTATTATTTATTTTTTGTTTAGCCAGGATTTGTGGTAATGTTGCTGATGATGTTGTGACCTTTAGTGAGGCAGGCAACTGGTGAGTGCAGGCCAAGAAAAATGGCAATTTGGATTGGGGATAAAAGCAAACAGCTTAATGGGCATCAGTGAGGAGAAACATACACACTGCTCAAAGGTCAACTGATTCAAATAAACACTTACACACGCTAAAGCATGCAAATAAAAGTCCTTCTATAGTAAGAAGGCAACCACATATTAACTTCCTTCACAAAGTATGTTCCTTCGCAATCTAACATTTTCTCTTTCTCCCTCTCACACACACACACACACACACACACACACACACACTTTCACCCATCCATAATTCTGTCTGAATGGAAAGAATCCAACCATGCGATTGCGACAGTATGTAGAGAGACAGAAAGAAAGAAAGAAAGAATTGATAGATGCAGCCATTCCAGATACACATCCACACACACACAAAGGGCTACTCTGAGTGATGAAAAGAAGACACAGAAAAAGAGGGGCTATGCCCTAAAGGTACAGAGACAGCTGAGATGAGGGAGAAAAATCCAAAAGGAACATCAGAAGAGGCAGAATGGCAGCGTGACGAGTATTGGAAATGTGAGCTCTGTGGACTGATTTGTTTTGGTTGTGAGTCACTGATGATTCTGAGCCATCGAAGCATGGAGTGCTTTCTCACTAAATGCTTGCCAGTAAACCCTTTGAAAATAGTCTTTCCAAGCTTAGATATATAAAGAAGAAAACACTTGTAGTAATACGAGGCGTCATAGGAGCACGGCCAGCCAGAGTGTGTAGCATTTGTTGGTGGTTTAAAATCGGCCAATGATGCATGGCATCCCCAGGCTCTTTTTGCTCTGTCACGCTCCTATTTCATATCCCAGTTTAACAAGCAAACTGGTTAAAGAGCTCCCCAGAAAGCAACAAAATGGACAAATTATCAACCATTATATATTATATAATTTCTAATCACACAATCAACTAAGATTTAAACTAAAAACAAATAAACATCAAATTCATACCTTAAATTTTTTTCCTATCCTACACTTCTCCCCCGGGGCCGAGGAGTTGTGGTTTTACAGTTTACTTGAGCACGATTTGGATATTTGTAGTGTGTAAACAGTTTTCTGAAAAACTAGAAGAACAATGTTAAAATGGAGGCAAATGTAAGCAAATCTTATCACTAACTTTACAAAGTTTGCCTTGTGGGCAAAGAAGCAAAGACCTTTTTGCTTGCTGAAGAGGTGAAATGTGTGCATTTGGCAGAGTAATGGGGAGTAATGGGACAGTAGTAGTGTACAAGCACCGTGACAGCATCTCTCATAAAAGAGCAACTGAAATAACAGAAAGGAAAAGAAGAAACATTCCCAAACAATAGTGTAATGTGTGCTAGTCAGATGCAGGAAACGATCAGCTCTTTTAGAACAGCTTATACAGTTGCAAAGGACAGGCTGGCTTACACAAAAATGAGTGCCCTCATAAAACGTAATGAACCGAATTGTGCGCCAGTCGGCACTCCACACATATCCGGCCATTCATGTGCTGCGATCATAGCCAAAGAAATAAAGGCAGCATTCGTGTCTGATGTCAGATCACTTGATGTTCACATTAGCATCCCTTTGGATGAAAGCACCGTACATGGATGTGCGTACATGATTGTTTAAGTAAGGTATGCAAAAGCCATGGAGATGTATTCAATGTGTTTTTTGACAAAGTTGATCTGTATAGGGCAGGGGCAAAAGACTGAGGGCGGGGGACTGAGTAAACAGGGCTACTAGAATAGATACTAGAATAAAGAACATAAAGAAATGTACAGGGTCCAGAATTTTGTGCCATACCAGGTGAAGAGATGTTGATTTGTAATTCTCTAAAAGAGGGTCTTTGGGATGCTGCGAGATGGAGCAGCTGTCCTGACCAAGAGAGACATTGGACTTAAACAGGAGTTTTCTGTCCAGTCCAGTCACTTCGCTGCCTGGCTCATTGCTTGGAGTTGGCAGTGTACGATTCTTTGAAAGAAATGGGAGGATGCAATTATTCTGAATGTTTCCTCTTTGAATTTCATTCATTGTACCACCAGTCTACCAAAACAAATACAGAGGCCTCCTAAAACATCTTGCTTTGTCAGTGACTTGGCATGTATGAAGGATATGTACTGTGAACTTTTCAATCTTTCCCTTACGTTACAGAAACACGACATGTCTCTTGTTGATGCAAGCTGTCACATGGAGCAGATGACTGATGTTCTGAGAGTGGTGAAAAAACAAGGGGGTAAAACAGGAGACAAGGCTGAGTGAGGTATTGCCACAGGCCAGTTAAAAGGTTAAAAGATAAACAGGTTGCAGTTCTATCAGGCTGTCTTCACATGTCTGAATAAATGATTAGCTGACAGTTAGTTGGTGAGTCTTTTAAAACCTCTGGACAAACATTCCTGGTAAAACAGAGAAAATGCCTCAATCTCTTAGGAGAGAAGGGAAGGCTGTAAGAGGGACATCATCCAAAGAAGCTAGCAGACAGAGACTGAAAGCTACAAGGAGGCAACAAAGGAAAAAGACTTCTGATGGCGAGTGACGCCACCTCTGCTGAATGTGAAAGAGGATTCTCTGCATGCAACCACACGGACAGACAAGCCAGGTTTACGCCAAAAGCCTTTACGCTTTGCTTTTTGTGGACTTCAATGGGCCTCCTCTGGACAAATGAGACTCTCTGCCCTTTGTTAAGGAGGGATAAAAGGAGGCATCATTCATCCTCATCTTGTTTACGAGGCCAGCAGCCTCAGACACATGTAAAGACCACGGTGGTCTTTTCTATCTGCTTAAAAGGTAAGATAGTTTTTAATGTATGTGATAACTTTATTTTCACTGCTACTGCTTAGTGGTTATATGGTTCAGCTTTGTTATTTGCAATTCAGCACATTAGATTTTGGTCTGTGCTGCTAATTTTATCACATTTATTAATACATATAACATAACTGAACGCAGCATGAACCAATGCCAAATGTTATGACACTACATCCAAAGACATTTCACTCAATACCACAAAAGCTGCTGGCTTGAACTACAGTATAGGAAAAATTCAGGGGATCACCAAAGTCAGTGGGATTCATCATCTGGGCACCAGGAATGTCCATACAAAATGTGTGCCAATCCATCTTGTAGATGTTGATGTCGATAATTGAACATTTTGACATGGTGGTGACACTAGTGGAAAAGCCAGGAGTTTACCAATGTACCCCTGTACCAACTTTCACAGGAATCCATCTAAGAGTTGTCAAGACATTTCACTAAAAGCCAAAATGTCAACCTGCTGGTAGCACTTCAGGAAAAGTCTGAGGATCACTAAAGCAAGTGGAATTCATCATCAACAGTTATGCCACCATGAAGGACTGACTGACATTGCTGACGTTGTTAAAGTACAGTTGATATAACAGTTTCTCCATCTGCCTGCCATTTCTTCTCGAGACCAGTGCAGCTTTTAGGTCTTTATTAAAGATAAAAACCCTGTAAACAAAATCTTAAAATATTATTGCTGGCTCTTGTACATTAGTGAGATTACTGCACTGAAAAGGGCGATGACCAAAGATGAATGACAAAGCACAAATGAGAAGAGCAGAAAACCAAAGCCAGTGAGTCATTGTAAAAGAGATGAAAGATTTGAAAGAGATTGAATTAGAGTGACTGGGCCATTTCATTCCAGATTAAACCCTAGTTTTTACATCCTTGAGGGTTTGAATGAAAGCAAAGGAAGAACTGATATATGCAATAGGCCCTGCAGCCAAGAGTAAAGGAGCTCTGCCAGCTTTTCACTGGTGTGTTATGTTCCTGTGGACCTCAATATTGACACCTATGGGAGTGCAGACTGGCAAAAGATCTGCATTCCCCTAGGCATCTGGACTCATAAGAATGAAGGTCTGGATTATTGATTAATCATTTAAGTAGTTAATCATAAACAAAACTAAGAGTCTACAGCTGTGCTTTGAGCTACAAGAGGATGCTAACAATAATGTTTACAGGCTGATGTGTAGCAGGCATAAAATTTACCATGTTCAAATCAGAGTTTAGCGTGTTATAGCATGTTAATGTTTGCCATTTAACACTGAACACAAAGTAAAGGAATACAGGGAATACAATTAGTTCATAATTTTGACCAAATGGTAGCACTGTATTTAAAGTGAAGTTCCATTTAGGTCAAACAGAGTCAGGCTGCTGCTGTTGACTCACTGCAAAGGCTCTGCTACACTAAATGGAACGGAACCTAGTATTATCGGTAACAAATGTGTTTACCCTACTACTTCATATCAAAATGGCTGCTGTGAAAAAGGTCTACAGTTGTTGAGACATTTCACTTAAAATCACAAATGTCAAACCTCATGGTGGTACTACAGAAAAAAACAAATTAGGGGATCATTTGCCACGGACCACAAATGTCTGTTTAAAATGTCATGGCAATTCATCCAGTAGATATTTCAGAGTGTACCGAAGTGGTGGAAAGACTGACTGTCAGACATCGCCATGGAGCCACGCCATTAACAAGGCTAAAATGAGGATTTGCTGCTTTTTCTCTGTCTGTTTACATAATTGTAAACTGAATACCTTTGGGGGTTTTAATATTGGTCAAGCAATTTGTAAATGTCTCATTGGGCTCTCGAATATGGTGATGAGCATTTGTCTCACATTTTACAGAGTGCAATTTTGTTAAATGATTAATTAGATAAAATAGTCAATAAATCATTAGTAGCATCCCTAAGGCTCCTTTGCTTTGCTGTACGGTGTGTTTTGCTGTTTAGGCTGTTTAGACTCTGGTTTTCATACAGATCCATGTGGGGTTCTGGCACCAATTGT